GCTCAGCAAGTTTATCTGCGAACTTTGCGCTAAAGAGATGCAGATGAGCAAGTCGAAGGTGCTCGGACCGAATTCGAAGTACAATCCCTCTTCTTGCGTGAACTGTTGCGCGAACTGGAACGCGGACACGAACGGTATTGCAATGTCTATCGAGGGGAAGAAAATGTACACGCGCCTCTTCGCGGAATGCGTGGTGGCAATCCCCGACCTTCAAAACCTCATGGTGGACGTCAACAATATCCAGGCCATGATCACGATCATACGGGAGCTCGTGTATTCAAGGCTGAAGAAGGAGCTTTCTCACGTGGGATTCGTGAGCATGACTGTGGATCAAGCAGCGCAGTTCTACAACAACGGTCACGGGAAGCAATTGTGCGCATCCCGGGATGTGATCGTGTGCAAGAATTCCGAGGGAGTCGAGGAGAGGATGTCCATCTTCTTGATAGGCAAGGATCTTGGCAATGTGGCATATTCGTCCTGGATCAAGAGTGTGCTCGACCAAGGAACGATGTATGAACTCCTGGGACAAACCACGAACGAGGAATCCTTGGGAGACGTCGTCGAGATGGTGTTGGGATTCTTTGAGGTGATGTCGTACTTCCAGCACGAACTGCCACTGTGGAAGGATGCATGGAAGATCAAGAGGGAGTTCGAGCAGTCAATAGTGCGACACCTCGCTGGGAACGTGACCCACACGACGGGCCAGAACAGAAAGCGGAACAGACCGTCCGCACAGCTCGGCGTGCCCACGAAGGAGGTGCTTGACATCATGAACAAGGTCAAGCCCAGACATCCACGATCCCTGATCACCGAGCCCTCTGCACAAGGTTCCAAGAGAAAGGCCACGGAGGGCGAAGATGAGGGTCTTGGTCAAGCACCAGACCCGAGTCGAAGTTCTCAGCCCAATGCTGAGAAGGAAGATAAGAAGCAGCGAGTGATCGACGGGCGGAGAGCGGCACTAGGATTCCTGGAGTCAATGGAGAAGTGCATGGGAGATATGGGGATCTGTAAGAAGTGCGCGAACCTGGCCCACGACGGCGACTGCAAGGACATTGAAGGGGCTGCTGGAAATGAGAAGGCGATGAAGGTGCTCCGTGAGCTACTCAGCAGTGACCCTGTTTCATCTGATGAAGACATGGGGGATACGGAGGAACCGTCCTCATCAACGTCCAAGGAAAGAAAGAAAGGAGGACAAGCAGGGAAAGAAACAATTGAGATGTACAGCTACACCATTAATTTGGTGGAAATGGCTGACACGGCCGAGGGAGGAGAGCTACAATGTGGTGGCGTTGACCTCACCTACAACCCGTGCGGGGACAACAGGACATTCAAGAAGACGCTTGAGATGGGATGCGACACCATCCCATGCTACATCCCGAAGTATGGCGATGTGAGTGATGTGCACTTGCCATGGGCGTATGCGTCCATCGTTGACCCCAAATACTTTCCCAAAGGTGCAATCCTTGAGCAAGTGGACGTGATGCAACTTGGCAAGAGTGTCAACTTCTGCATCGCTCCTTTCGACGGTGCTCCACTATGCAGGATTGGTGATGATCGCTCGGTATTTACTACAAGGGACCAAGCAAACCAGCTATCTCACGACCTATGCAGAGTCCTTCGACACAAGTTCGGCAATTGCCGAGGAAGTGCTTTCAGGTGCGACGAGGGTGGATGGGTCGACATTGATGCTGTCATTGACGACCGGACCAACGACATATTCCCACCATACACCACGAGAGCGAAACGATACATGGGCATCATGGAGGTGATCAAGTGGCAGGAATCCGGAAGCAGAAAATCGAGATTCCAGGTTTTGGCAGCAAGGTTTCCGAGCATCATGAACCCGAACGATACGAGGGCAGCCAGGGAGGAAATGACCGAAGCTGGCGTGGATCGGGACGACATCGACAGGATGTTCAACAGATGCGATGGATGGTACAGACCTTGGTGCATCCGAGTCACAACCGGTCACAGTGATTTTGGATTCATGAGCTCATCCGCACTGGCGAATAGGTATTCCGCAAGAATGGGTGATTCTCTCGGAGGAGCATCCCATGTGACGTATGTGGAAAACCTGCCAAGCATCGTACGCTGTGGGTTAGTCCCCGGCGGAATCGATGGCGGTAACAGGCTAGCACTGCACTTCGGGGCGTTTGCTCCATGGGATGAGATGAACGTGGCGACGAAGACAACGCTACGGAACGTGAGGAGAGGGGATCCGATTGCGATCATCTATATTCCCAGTGCAAACCTCGCGCGGTATGGGGCTGGAGTCGCGGCTAATGGGACTTTCATGGTCTTTGACGTGATCCCGTTCTATGAGGTCAAGTCCATTTGGATTGGCAAAAGCAACGGAGGGAAGCGCCTGGAGTACGCTGACATCAAGAGGGCGTACTCGAAGTGTGTGGAGAACGAGATCTGTCCTGGCTTCGTCAACTCATCCCAAGAGTCGGCAGCGATGTTCCTCCAGAACGTCACAAAGATCAGCGAGAGGATGCCGGAGACTGAGACAGGTGCCGATAATCTGCACTACATCGTTGACATGGTTAATCGTGCCTGCGAACTCTATCGAATCAACAAGATGGAAGAGTTCAATGCACAGGTCAACGAGGTCCGGGACGAAATCAGCAAAGTCGTCATCCTGAATGACGAGACATGGGAAGGACAGAGGTGCCGGAATGTCCATCATGTGCGACCGCGATCCCCACCTGCTTCTGCTTATGCCTGGAGTGCGAGGCACAACTGATCTCCATCGGAAGATACTACATTCACATCAAATCCGATGACGAGGAGGACAACCAAAACCCCAACGTCTCTGGAGATGCCAAGCGTGCACAGGAAGAAGCTAACCACGATGCGGCAGCACAGGAGGATGAAGACGAAGCGGAGGAAGTTCCGGGAGAAGATGACGACATGGACACGCAAGGATATACATCCGGCTATGCGTCAGAAGAAGAAGCCAGCGGTTGGCATTACCGCGACACCGATCTGGCGTCACGGGACATTATAAGTTCCCAACGGATGGCGATCTGCCTTGACGAGCCGCGTGAGGCTCAGTACATGGCAGGATTTATCGCACTCCAGATGTCCAAGATGTGGGGGATGTTCGAGGGTGGTGAGGAGAGACCGATGAATGCCAAGCTCGAGGGGAGAGAGGGCTGCCCTTACCACAATGATTTCAAGAGGTACCCCAACATCACTGAGCACGATCAGGAAGGTATACTATTGCCATCAACACCAACGAAGATTTCTCAGTCGGAGAATGTTCGGACAAGAGCCTTCCGATCGGTTGAGGAGCGTGACGAATATATTCGTATGATGGTGTGCAAATGCGAGGGACTTTACACATTCAACAAGCTGTGGATTGCAGCGAGAATCCTCGATGTCACCAAGGAAGAAATGAAGCTCCTGGTCAAGGACCGAGTGCACCCGGTGGGTGATATTATTTTCAGATGTTTTGCACTAGCTTTCAACTGTAAGTATATATCATTCGTGAGGGATGGCCTGAACCTTGGCAAACATGGTTACACGGTCAACGTGAGCGCCATCATCTCGGCCGTCGACCCGAACAAATGCGACACATTTTGCTGGATTGGTGCCTTCGGAAAGGGCACTGGTTGCCAGAGGACTACAACAAGAAGTGTGTCCGGGCACGAGAAGCCCAGAAGAACTTGGACGAGGAGTTCCGTCGACGCACTCACAGACTGTCCATTGGGGACCGGTATGCGTAGTGAAGATGCTGATTGCGGCACGATGTGGGTTAGTCCCCATCTGTTGCTTGCGTCTCATCAACACCATTGCGATGGAATGACCTTACATTATGATATGATTTCATATATCCAAGTTGAATGGATGTGTACATGGTTACATATTCCTATGACTATGACGCTCTGGATATTCATGGATGGAACTATTACCTTATAGATGATATCTTTTCATTATTTATGCATTGTCCATGGTATCTGGAGTGGCTATGATTTGCATTGATTACTCACCGATGTTTCTTTGCCGGAGATATGCAGACCGATCACAAGCGGGCGCGTCTGGTGGACTTTTGTGGCCAACCCATTTATGGATGACAGCTGCGCGATGCGCAAATGCGGCAGCTGGAATGTTCACTGGCGGTAAAGTGAAGTGGCCACAGTGTATTATATACACCTGCATATGGATGTGTGCTTCGATTGGAGGATGAATGTTTCACTTTTCGTACAATCGAACCCGGCATGTTTCACAGCGAATGAACGGTGTAGTGATAGCAAGTAAAAGAATGCACGACACGATGTCGTAGTTGAAGCCGTGGCCAGTGGAACGTTTTGTGGTGTTTGGACCGCATGATGAACAATGCGACCCAAATGGGGGATGTTAAAACCCTCTAGGCCCCGTGCCGAAATTGGGTAGCTGTTCTGAGGTCCTTGTTGGTGTTGCTTCCCAGGTTCCATTGATCGCCATTTGGCTCAAGACACAATTGAGGTTCAAGATCTGATGTGTGACTGCATACATACGTGATCGGCATTGAGAGCGAAAACTCTTTGCTTGCGCTGCATTTGTCAGGACCACAGTTGTAACTATCATTCCTTCTCCCTTACAACGTTTACACGGGTTCGGCTATAACGGCATCGTCCGTATACACCTTTCTACGTGGTTGGTATTACAGCTTGAGGGTTCGGTGCATAGCGTCCCACGGGACGTCACCTTGCCGTCTCTTGACAGCCCCAGAATGGTTCGGCCCCATGTCGGATGGTCGCAAAGCGGGAACCAAAAGGAAACAAAACGGTTGGAGGGGTCCGGGTCCTTTATAGAATTCCTCGAAGATGCATGGACCCAAAGCATATGCCGACTTTAGTTGTCCTAGAACAAGGTTTGTGGCAAAGGCATGCCATCCCCAAGGAAACATCATGTCCAAATGTGAAGGTATAAAGTCTCAATCTTCGGGCATGGCAAAGTTGTCCCGAAGGCCAAAACGACCTGCCAACTGAAACATACCATCAGTGAGCCTGTAGGCGGCTGCAGACTACAGCATGGAGGCCTCGGTGTTCAGAACTTCCGTGTTTGCAGCTTTATGGATGTGCTTTTCTCTATAGGGAAAGCTCTGTTTTGAGGAGAACCCCATCCCCCCGGGGTTCAAAACATTGAAACAATGGTTAATGTAACCATCATTTACCGTTCAGGATTTTCCTCCAAATTGGGTCCCCTTGGGCACCCCAAATCATCCAGCGTGGGGGTTCCGCGTATTGAAAAGAAACCCACAGGCCCTCAAGGCTCTGCTGAAGCAAGCTAGGGTTTTTTGTGCCAGTCTGAGGTCGTAGTGAAGCCAGCGGTGTTCTCACTGTTCCTCATTTGCCAATAGGAGGGCCCAGTTGGAAGAGTACGGGCTGTCAAAAGATCCCTAGCTTTTAGCCACATGTCTTTGTTTCATGGAAGAGAGGCCGTTGCGAGTGGACGGCTGGAGCAATCTCCGAATGTGCCTTTGCCAAGTCCAGCAGTGTTGATTCACATTTGATGCTTTGGGCCCTCCCAAAGTAGCTGGGGGCGATTTTCTGGTTAAACCAATGCCAGCTCAGCATCCTCTGAATATTTTAATCCCAGGGTCGTTTGCTCTTGGGCATGTTTAACTTTAAACAAGGAGTCAATGAACCACTTCGGAGGGTAAAAGGCTCACAGAGGCAAGTGTCATAAGAGGCACACAGATGCAAGTGTCAAAAGCAAGAACTACTCCTACTCCTACTCGCTTTCTCACAAACGTGGTACGCCACTTACATGAGTCTTGTGTGCTCTGTGTGTGTGTGTGTGTTTTTGAGAGGATATATACCCTCCTGGGATTGACTTGAAGGTAAAGGAACACCGGGCGCCATTGCGAGGGTTCCCCTTGGAGAAGCACCCATGACTTACCGGGCAGACCAATATGGCAACCCGCATGTAACTCGAGGACGTGCTTGCCGCGTTTCGTGAGCCTAGCATTTGTGACAAAGCCCCGATGGGAATCTCACTGTGGTATCGCAAGAGACCCATCCTTTCTCAACAGGAAGGTCCGAGCCTAGAGATAACTTGCTGGTTCTCAGCAGGGAACGACCCCTATAAACCATCCCCTATGGTTTTGCTTTAACGGAATCTCCAAAACCGGTTCATTTCCAGCACCCCGTCTCGGTCATTCCCTATCGCACGAGCAAGATGATCAATCGAGGGTAGAAGCTTGGCTCGCTTTCCTTTGGCTCCTGCTTGCCGGCATGTCCGTTCCTTTGGCTCCCCCTATGGTTTCCTTTTAAGGGAATCCCCTGCGGTTCATTTCCACCAACCTTGGCTCCATCCCCTATGGTTTCCTTTAAAGGAAATCCCCTCCGATTTTGATCTCCACCAACCTGTCGACACCTTGGCTCCTCTGTACATCTTGCAACCCTTGGCGCCCTGATCCCGCAGGTCCTGCCTGAAGAGCCGCCCCCTCCGGAGTTGGAGGATCCGTATCCCGATCCGCGCCTTGGATACGAAAGAAACCGGACGTTTCGGGCCCAAGGACCAAAAACATATCCATGCCTCAGGTCTGGTGTACTGTTGCCATGAGCCATGGGCTTGATCAAAAATTGCCCCTTCGGCCCTAAGATGACCAATTGGGTCACTTTTCTCATGTGGCGAAAGCTGTCTTGTTTGGTGGTTTCCCATTGGTCATTCCATGTAAGGGCCTTTTGATCAACCCGCATGTGTTTGACTTTGTTTCAGTAACGCCTTCTGCTGCAATCCTTTGTTAGCGCTTCAGTTCAATGACCGGCTCTGCCTGGTGTTTGATTTGTTGCTTTTACTGTTGGCACAGGTCCGGCCATTGTGAGATGATTGCAGAATTAATATTGTTTTGTGTGTGTGGGAGAGAACGGATGCGGATGTGCTTGCCACTTGTCACTTTCCTGCTTTGGGCATGTTGTTTTTTGTTCGTCCTTTCCTTCATTCTTGGCCCTCTCCCCCTTTGTCCTCATTCCCATGGGGTTGTCTCAAAGGGGCGGAACATGGTTGGCTTCCGCTGTGGATTCCTTTGAAGCCAAAGGGGGGTTCTCTCACAGACACACCTCCATCATTGCCTAGGCAGGAGTTCCAGGATGTCTTTGATGGGGACTTTGAAGGCGGTGGTGCGGGGTGGATTGTCCCAAGCCTGGGTATTGAAGAAAGATCCCTGGGCATAGGTGTCCTTTGTAGGTTGGTTTGGTTAAAAATAGATGGCACTGGTTGAGATAGGTTTTCTTCCATTTACCAGGGCCTTCCATTTTGTTTCCAAAAGGCCACCTATGTCCCTGGGCCACTCGCGGAAAGTCGCAGCATCAAACCGCTTCTTGCAGGAGTCCCTGAAGTGTCCCCTTTTGGGATCTCGAAACATACAGCCCTTCTTCCGTTGAGATGGACGGCTTTTTTTGCCCATGACAAGCAGTTCTTTGCCTTGCCGAGGAAACAAACCGAAAGCAAAGCATGAATGAGGCCACAGCCAAAGTAGTTGCCTTGTTCGAGTGGTGAACGGACCGGCCAAAATCCCCTGACCCCAGCCTGCCGGGTGCGGCCACCCTGTTCAAAAAGGGGCATCTCCAATCAACCACACGGAAATGAGTCTGGGACACATGTATGAGCTCATTTCCCTAATTCTTGGATATGTCCAGGTTTTGTGGATTCCTTCGGAGCCTCAAATTGTTCAAGTCCTGGTTGATGAACAGGGACAGTGTCGAGCGTCGAGCATCGGTGTTTTGAAGTGACCAGTCCCATCGGCGTCCCACACGAGACACCCAACGAGATGAGTTGAGTTGGACGATGTGGTACGGGTTTTGAGGACACCCCGAATCAATCGGGATACTAAAGAAGTGAACCTCAAGGCCTCAATTAACGTATGCAGTTTGGTAGAAAGAGTCATTGGGCTCTGGTCGCAGCTTGTTCCTCTTTGTGATGACTGACCATATTCAGCATCACTGTGAGGACGGTACCCAATGTGACTAAAGAGGAGAAGACTGGCATGGTTCTCAAAGTTGACATGCTTTCGGGTGACTTACCGTTTTCCTGTCAAGTTCATTTTTTCTGGTTTTGGCCACGGTTCAAGCAGTCCCTTTTGCATGTTGGAAGTTTCAATCAACAAGGACAGTAAGCCGACCTTCTTTCAACAACTGCCTGGATTGCAACTCAACTGACTCTGGCAAACCGGCGTCAACCTGCCTGGAGTTGACTGGCACAAGGAACATGTATGCAGATAGCTGGGCATCCACCAGAGTGTCGGATGGGCTTCACCGTTTTTTTTTGGGGGGGGTGCTTTCAGACGTTCTGACATGGGGTGTCTGTTATTGCTGGGATGTCTATCAACTTCCCGGCTTCATGTTCGCACGTGGCCATCGGTCAAAACCCCGTACTTCCAGTGAACATCCCAATCCCCACTAAAATGGACTAAATGGGTGGTGCACCTACCCCAAAATGGTACCATTGGTTTTGACCCACAGCCAGGTGAGTTTGATCCGGGCGAGCAGGCAGGGCGAGTCACTCAATTGGGAAGCTGGGAAAGGCATACTGCGGATATCCCCATGGACAACACGATTTGTGTGTGTGTGTGTTTTTGCGGTGCCCTTTTGGGGTCGCTCTAAGAACAGCTTCCCTCGATGTTGAATCGTATTTGTCTTGAGCAACGAAGGAGACAATCAAAAGGTGATGTGTCTCTACGGCTTGTCACTGGTACTCAAAAGTGGTTTCAAGGTTGGCAAACCCTGGATCAGTCTGGCTGACGTGAATCAAGTGGGCATGAGTTAAATCACAACATGAGTCACATGAGGGTATCCTAAACTCGGGTGGGTCCCTCTTGAGTGGCTCTGATACGGGTTGGGGGGGGGGCCAGGACCAAGTTTTGGTGATGCTCCCTTGCGAGCGCAGAGTCCATGGCCGTGAGATGCAAGTAGAGTCGTACCAGACCAAGGTAGACTTGAACCCAGGGGGCTTGCTTTCCAGTGAAAGGAAATTCCCTAAGTTTGAGTGTGCCTTGGTAGTCTCAGAATCCTGTTCACGGCCGTAGAACCCAAAATTGAGTGGCAACACAAACGTGCCGTTCCGAGGCAGTAGGCCATGCTTTCTGTGGGTTGTGTTCCACAAGAAACATCACCATGGCAAATGTAGGTCCTTTTTCTTATGTTAAAGGGAAACCAAAAGGAACGCCTCCATTTTGCGGGTGCCCCCAAAAACAGACACCCCCATTTGAGCAACCTCACACGGGGGGTTTTGCGACTAGGTGTCTCTCATGGCGCAGCCGTACGTTTCCCGGTCGTGACTTGTGACTATTTTGCCAGGCAACGCTTTGTTACGCAAAGCAAAGCGCACCGGAATGAAGCAATGGCCAATATCCACCGCGTGCTTGTGTGCACAGACCCTTGGAAGACTTGACATCCGAAGTTGTCCAAATGGGGCTACCCCCCAAAAGATGGGCGGTGTCAACTTGTGGTTTCCCTTGAAAACACCCCCTTTGTTTGGGGGCACCCTAAAACCAGCAAATGAAGGGAGAAACAACACTGCCCTTGTCAATCCCATGGGCCAGGTCGCGCTCGTGGTTCATGGGGCTTGAGTCTATGGGGTGCTGTCCTTTTGCTTTCCCTCTAAAGGGTGCCAACCCCAACAAAAGGTACCCCTGCGGTTCAGTTACCACCAGGGTTGTGGAATCAAGGGGTTTATTCCCACTTCTGTGATACAAGAGAATCTCCCCCTTTATCTGGGGTTACCAGCAATAGATCACTACTTGGGTGAATATAACCACCATGAAATTGTCCAAGTTGGATGTTCATCGTCCAACTTGGGTCAACCATTCGTTTGATGCGGGTTGAACCCAAGGGGTACCTTGGTGCCTTTGTTGCTTTGGCGGCCCCTTTCTTAAAGCCACAGGTCACCCTCAAAAGTAGGACCCGTTGTCGAGCGGTCAGGGCCGAAGATACACAACCGAATTTCCATTTTCCCGGTGGGCTTTCTTTAAGCAAGCTCAAACAAGGGCATGTTTGAGGGTAGCTTGAGGGTCCGGGTACTGTCCGGAAAACAACCATTCACTATAGCTGGTGATTAAGGAAGCTAAGGAGCTACCAGGAGCTACAAGGAGCTACCAGGAGTTCTGTAAGGACATGGTAGTGCAATCTTGATCAACTCCTGTGGGTCTCCGTTTACCCTGAAATTCAGGCAGGCCACCATGAAAACAATGATTGGGTCAACAGATATATACATATATATATAACTTCACCATTGTTTACCCTTCAACATATTTTCATTAATTCAAGTTGGGCTTTCAATGGGGGGATGAACCCCAGAAAAAGTGCATGTGTAAACCCTGTGATTCACATCTCCAAATGCGAACCAGTCGCTTGCTTTCCAGACTTCTATTCAAGAGTTGCCAGTTGAAATCCATGGTCCAAACCCACATGGGCCAAGGACCTGCCCAAAGTTTCAAGATGTCTCAGTGTTTTTTGGGATTTGTTTTGCGCCATTTCAATGGAACTCGGCCTTCGGACCCCCAGAACTCGGAGCTGTACCCCAGGGCCCCAGAACTACCGAGCCTCGCTGGCGCAGGAGGGCTTCGGCGTGGAGGAGCTCAGGCTCTTGGACGAGCCCGGCTCTTGGACGAGCCGGGTCTGGCGAGTCACAGGTGAAACCGGGTCAGGGGGCAGAAGGCGGCTTTTGGAGAAGACAAGCTCTTTTTCTGGGTTGGTGGAATCTCAGCAAAGAATGTACGGTTGTTTTTCATGTTCTGGTTGCTTGTTGTGGATCATTTTCTGGTGCCTGTTTGTGGAACACCAACAAATGGACGTAGATAGCTGAATGCTTGTGTGTCTTTTTGAGGCTACCGCGGATGGACGAAATCCTGCGCCACTTGGAACCTATGGTTATAGGGGAAAAGAGTAACCAGGAGACCAGGGCCCTTGGGGTTAAGGGAAGCCAAATTGAACGCACCGGACTATTGGCTTACTCCAATCGTGACTCAATCGGATACTCTCTTTTGTTGGAGATCCCGTGCCATGGTTGTTCAATCGCTGTTTGATTTCCCGAAGCAACCGCTTGGCAGCCAGTTGCCAAACCCTATGGGTGTGTGACCAGTTTCCGGACTTCGATAGCATGTTTAGGCCGAAGACAAATTGAACAGTGCAGGGTACTTTAAAACAGTCAAGATAATATAACAGTGTGCTTTCACGTTCTTATTTTCATTATATTGGCATGTAAGCAATGAAACATCTTGGGACTTTGTGCAGGTCCATGTGGGTTTTGACCATGGGTTTCAACCGGGAACTCTTGAATTGAAGCCTGGGGAGCAAGCGACTGTTTCGCATTTGGAGATGCAAATCACAGAGTTAAACATGCACTGTTTCTGGGGTTCATCCCCCCATTGTAAGCCCAATTTGGAGGATGAACATATGTTGAACGGTAAATAAGGGTGAACATTCTATAAACCCAAATCATTGATTGAATGGTGGCCTGCCTGAACCCCGGGGACTCTGTTGGCCTTAGGAAGCGGTTTTGTTCTTTGAGAATTTGCAGGGGGTTGAGTTGTGAGCGTGGCACACAGCCAAAGTCAATACCTGAGCAACTGGAACACTTTCCACCAGAAGTGGCAGACGGCTTTCTGCAAGCTACAGATAATTTGGGTACTGTATCTTTCTTTAAGGGACCACCTTTGAGTCAGGGTGCCACTCCTCTTGTTTTTGTATCCAACTGCATTGTGGAGGATTTCCAAGGAACTCCTTGTATTTGGGCAGTGTGAGGCTCGAGCCCGCCCCCCCGTGACGAGCAACATAAAAGACCCAATGCGATTCTTTTTGCCCTGTCCGTTTGGTGAGTTCGGGACCCACTGAGCATGGACAACCCCAACAGAGGGTCGTTCTAACATAAGTACCTTGCTTGGAGGACTGAAGGTTGCAAGCACTGGTCACGAGAGGACAGCCATCGCAGAAGGGCATCGTGTGAAGTTCTAGGGGTACCTTCCCCATTCTTCCCAGGCATCCTTCTTTCTACAAAACCACCCAAAACCCTGGGGAAACAGATCCGGTTTTTTGAAAAGAAAGATGGTTGAAAAGAATGGACAAGGAATCAACCCCTGGAAGAATGGACTTGGTTGGGACTTAAGCCCCGCACAATCGACTGGGTTTTCCCTCGCTCAGAAACCATTTCGTTCCTCACAACATGAGGGAGCCATAGAGAAGTACGATCGTTGCGCAGGCCCTACTTGCGACACCTCATCCGAGGTACCAAGAGCTGCCAGAGATGGAGGCGGAGTTGCAGGCGCAGACAGTTGGTGCCCTTTGCCCGACGGATTTTCGCCAGGTTATCATGCAGAGTTTGTCCGTAGTATGATAAAAACAAGTTCAGCATTGCCCCGCGTTTCACACTTTAAGCAATATGTCAGCTTTGTTTGTTCGAAGAAGCAACATTGATGTTGAATGGTTAGTTCTTAGTTCATTTATTCAAGTAAAGTGAAGTGTTTCAGCTCAATTATCATATTTGGATGACAAGCGACTATTGTGTAGTCAATGGAAGTATTCTTTCTTTTGTTTATTCTTTTGATATTATTGACGACTTTTCTTGCCGGTTTGACAGCGCCACAAGGCGCAGGCATTTTCTGTCCGGGCTGACCCAAAAAATAGTTCGGCGACAGGGCAAAGGCTGGATGCGAGCCCGGCCCGAAGCTTGTCATCATCAGGTGGTTGACCGCTGACGGCAAAAAGGAAGCGAGGGGGTCCACGTCCAGATCATATGTTGACATTCCCGACATGGGCTGAAGAAAACAACCCCGCGCCTTTTCGTTATGGGGCCGTCCCTTAGCTTGTTTTGCAGGCCAAAACCATTCTAAACCGTTGAGAGTTCTGAGTTCGAGGGCCGCACCGGCCCCGATCTCTCACGACGCACCCTGAGCACCGGAAAAAAAAGCTGGCCATGTGAGGGAGTGGTATATCATATATATATATATATTATATATATATATCCTGGATCAGCATGGGTATCCCTACAGGAACCATGGGATCTTGTCAAACGCGATGTCCATGCTTTCGTATTAGGGGTAGCTTGTGTCCAGGTTTCTCAGACCTGGTTTAGGCTCAAGAGAGAGCCAGGCATCCAGCGATACTAAGCTGGATTTGTCTGACAAACAGCCCCAACGGCGCATCTTTTGGAAACAAAAGACACACGACCCGCAGCACAAAACGCAATGTGCAACGTGAAACACGGCGCTTTTGCCTTAAGCCAAGCAGCACCGGGTGTCTTCATGTTGAAAGCCAGCATTGGCAGAAAGGATGTGCTGGGCTGGCTTGGCTCCTCTACGCCCGGTTGATTTTGTCAACGTGTGTTCTCTTTGTGCTGGTCTGTGTCTTTGATTGTGTGAACCCGCCAACGCGAATTTCCTTCTCAGAATGACTTTAGCTGCGGGCCAACTCCCGCCAATCGCGACCCCGCGGTTGAACACAAAAGTGACCTCACGAAGCACAGGTGTCCTTTTTCGGTTGGTTAGATTAACACATAGAGGGCCCTGGCTGGTGGTTCAATCATCTACCAAGACTACCTATTTTTCCAGTTATCTTCCAACAAGAACACCTATGCCGCGAAGGCCAAAAGTAGTTGGCAGAAAACAGGTCCGCGAAGCGTCTCGGCGAAGCCACCATCTTGTCATGAAGCCTCCCAGCGCAGAAGCCCCTCTAAGAACAATATTTTAAAAGAAGGTCAGATATGTGTTGCCCCACGGGATGTTCGAGGGCAATCCTCAATCCTTTCCTTGGGTCACGCAAGGATTTGGTCCTCTTTGAAGTGTGGAAAATCGGATGGGCCAAAGGAGCCTGATGGGTCAAACAAAATTCATTTTGAACAGCCTCAGGAGCCGCCTGTTTTAAAGGGAAACCACAAGTAAACCACCATTTGGGTCCATGTGGGGGCTCCCCTTTGACACAACCCTTATTCTTGGCTTCAATCCCGCGCCTTCTCTTGGCTGTTGAAGGCTTTCAGCTGGGTGGGGAGTCGATAGGCCTTGGAGGCGGAGAGGTGTGCGGACTTTCTGAATGCGCCCTTCGCGGAGAGGCGCGGAAAGAAACCCATTCACAAAATACCCAACCGTGCAGCCATGGATGAGTCAGACGTTGCGGGAAAAACAAAATGAGCAAGAGGACGCACAGTCCTTGCTCCCGGACATCCGGGTCCTTAGCTTTTTAGATATTTTTGGTTGGTTTAGTGGTTGAGTTTCCATTTAACCCACAAGTTAAGCTTGTAGCAGGGGATTTGAGGACGCGCAGAGTCCCTGTTGAACACCCTTGGCAACGCACGGTTCCGGATCAGTCAGGCATTGTGCTCCGCTCTTCGAGAGCCCGAGCAGTTCCGTTTGTTTGGCTTGCAAGTTTTGACCTCAGACAGTCTTTCTTTTTGATTCCTGTTAGTGCCCTTTGCCCTTGTTGGGGGGTTGTTCCCCTACTAAAATAGACTACAGAAAAAAAGGGTACTCTGATTCTAACCTCTCTGCTGGAGGACCTAGTGTTAAGTGTTCAATGGGGCCAGCTTGCTTGGGGCTGGCAACTTTATGCAATAGCTCGCTCGCAGTTTGGTGCACCACTGCCTTTACCACAAACAATTATCCTGCTAAGAGTAGATTGTCAGGCCAAAATGAGCTCTTCCTTAGCCAAGATAAGGTGTGGGATTGGCGGGGTCGGCCTTGCTTTACAGTGTCTAGATGAAGCATGTTGGGTGCCTGGAGTTAAAATCGCTCTGGTTGGCCAACTTCTTGGTCAAAGTCACTGCCCGGGAACGGTCAGTATTTACTCTTATCTTCGGAACGCTCACCAAATTACTGGTCGACTCCTTTGACCTCCCCTCAAACGAAGGAGTCAAAACAAAGGAGTCGTTTGAACTATATAATCTTAACGCCGGATTGACCCCCTGGTTGATTAATACGGGTGTGTCCCCTTTTAGTGGGGATTCATACCACTTTTGGAGGGGTTTTTATTCCGCTAAGAATGGGACGGGTTCTACTTAGATCCTGGGTCAACATTCGTCACCCAACTCCAATGTCGGAGACCCCCGCTGAATATTTGACTCGCATTCGCGTTGCCCGAGCAGCCGAGCCGGCAGGTCGGACGAGGGTGGGCGACCTGGGGAAAGAGGGAGAGAGAGACCGGACTCAGCTCGGATTCACCCGCGGATTCTCGGCGGGGTTGAAGGTCCCTATGATACGTGATACCAAGGGAATCCCCTGCCAAATGGAGAAAGTAGTAAGTCGCTGTTGGCTTCTCAAATGCGTTGCCGAGGCCAAGCAACATTTCGTGACAACAACAACCACAAATGCCTACTCGACACTGTTTAAGGGATGATCGCTGACTTTTGCGGACAGAGTGACAAACAAAACAAATGAGCAAATCAAATGGCCATTGTACCGCACAAATTGCGAGGAACCAAGAACTGCGCAGGTTTCCTAGAGCCAAGTAGCCAACTGGCTGCAAAAACTCGCCGAGATGTTTGGTGATTCTCCCAAAAGGTTCCTTTCCAGACCCTCTACTCAACTTCCGGCGAAGCTTGCAAGCCCGCGCTTTGAGGTGAGCCAAAATGGGAGGAGCCGGAGGCAGGCTTTCATCTGGCAGTCTATGCAGGCAAGTAGCTAGAGATGACTAAACCAGCATGAGGGATTGATTTCGCTGAATTCGTCATCTACTTTCACCCAACTTTAAGTGGGTTGGTCAATGTCAATCTGTAGCAACGTTGGAGCTCCACTATGAATTGTGGATTAGGATTCGGGATCCCCTGTTGCCGGAAATCAGATCGGGGACGCCCAACAAACAAATTGTTTGTGCCACAGTCCAAACCCGGGTAGATGAAATCGGTAGCGAGGGACAACCCCATCTGGATGCTTTACATGGTTTCTGGTAGATCCTCTTTTGTTGATTGCGGCTCATTTGGCCATGAACATGAGAAAAGAAGGGAGTGCCTTGAGCAGATATCGATTTTATCGATTGGGTGGGGATTGAGCTTGCCCATCATGATATTATTTTACATATATGAGATTTCGGAATGCCGGTTGGCCACGTTATGGTAAAGTTAGTGCAGACGGTTTGTGGTTGCATCAATTACCATAGCATATCTCTGACGTCCATCCAGGGGTCGCCTTTGGTTGAGTTAGCAACCCGAGGCGTTGTTCGCTTTTATCTCACTCAGGGAGGCTACCAAAAACACGCGCGAGAAGGTTACTCTATGTGGCCAAACCCCTGTGTTGGCGGGTTCACATAGCAGGAGCCAAGCACCAGCACATTGCCCCCTTCTGCCAGGGTTGGCTTTCCAAATGAAAGCACCGCCACTGGCTGCTGTTGATTTGCTTGGCCCGAAGCTTCCGTGTTCGACCAGCCTGTCTCCCTCGTTTGGGCTTCCGGAACGCAGCCAGTCAAGTGTTAGGAAGCTGCGGCTGAGTGATTTGACACAACACGGCAAAACACGGAGCTCAGCACCACCACGTGCATCTTCAGCTTTTTGGTAGATTCCTACCCACTAACATGGCACCCAAACGGTCTTTGTGACATGCATCGCGGGTCCCAACGATGGCGGGAGAGTCGCCTTCCATGCAAACGACTCCCTACAGATGCCCAGTTGGCTGTGGGTCAAAACCAATGCTACCATTCTGGGGTAGGTGAATTCACCACCCATTTTAGAACCTATTTTTTATTGGTTGGATGGGGAGGTTCACTGGTACGATTTGGCTTTTGACCCATGGCCACTTGGGCTTCAGGGAGCTGTCGGAATTCAGTCAGGCCTTCGAGCACCAGAGCTGCGCCGACTTCTTGAATCGCTATGGGCACGAGAGGCGCTTGTGGTGTGCACAGCGCCCGGGGTTGGCTTATGAGCCATCGCATACTCAACTATGTCTCCCCGACCTCTGTTGGTGTCCCGTTTTCGTCCTGCTTTTTTCGCGAAGTGCCCTTCAAGATCAACGAAGAAGAATTGTGATGGAATTCGGTATCTTTCTGCTGGAATTCCGACGCGTAGAGGGGTGCAACTTTGGCTCTGCAAGGACGGACAGGATGGAAGGGATGGGGAACGTGTTTGTGGGGCTATTAAATTAGGGTGTTGTTGGTGTCGGGAAAGGGGGAGCTTGTTTGCCGGCAACTTCAGCGGATCGTTTGCAGGTTGATTCGCCACCCTCTGTCTTGACTGAAAACAATTATTTATAGTGAAAGATCCCGTTTAAAACCAACAAACAGTGACAAATATTCGTAAGTATATGGAAGGCAACATGCATGTATATATTTTTGCCAAAAAAGCTTAAGCAATCGGCAAATGGTGGTTGTTGTTGTTGCGTTTGCAAATCATCCCTCCGAAGTGGCCAAGTGGTTCCAACTGTGACACGATGCATCTGTTTCAACCTGCCGCAGGTCTGAGAGTGGGGCACTTGGACCGCAAAGCTCGGGAACGGTTTCGACCTCTTCTTTGTTGAACAAACTGCAGTTGGACTTGTTACACGTAGGGCTTGGGCTCCGATTTCTCGGGGCTCGAGTTTTATGTTCTGCCTAAGGGTGCCCAAGAAGGGTTCTTGGGCCGAGAGTGGTTTCTTTCAACCAGGCGGCGACAGGTTTTAAAGGGACGCCAACAGGAAAACCACCAGTTTTTTTGGGGGGCTCCCCTTTTTTAAGACAAACCCATTTGTTTCCACTGCTGCCAATATCCATTTCTGTCTGAGCACGGCCTTTCGGGAGTTGCTATGACTCATGACCAGATGTGTCATGCACAAACTGGCACTTATGGAATCAATGTTGAATTGTGTGAGTGTATATATATATATATATATAAATATGTTAAATACATACATCTATACACATTATTTTGGGTAATGACCCCATTTTTGAAGGGTCATGGAGTCACATAGTTTGGCTCTTTTTTCGTTTGCCGTAGCTGTTTGATGAAACAAAGAGTACTCAACTGCGACTCTCGTCGAAGTGTTTCTCAACCCAGGCCCTTTAGGATCAGCTGACTGCCATGCACCAGTCAGCATCTGAACTCAGCTTTGGTTCGCAAAGGAAAAGCTCAAGTCTTTTGTATGTTGTGCATGTCCGGCATGGAACCATGATTGACAGAAGCATGACTCAAACAGGCCAATTGAAGGTGAGTTTCCCTCTGGTTGGCGATATGTTTGTTTGGTTGGACACGTATTTGGAACCTTTTTGGTGAGGAGACCCTAAACCCAAAACGTGTGGTTAAAGATTGGCGGGACCTAGAACTGACACCTCACCCGAAGGCCTGTTGCCGCTGCGCCGCTGCTTCTAAACACACGCCCGAGGGGCACCCTGGACGCTGAGATTCCTGGCATTGCTACGGCAAGATAAATGGACAGACCCTTTTCGTTCGGGGCGGGGCATCAGGGGGGCATCATGAAATCCCATGTAAGGACCTTGCTTAGGCCCCCTTTTTTTTTGGGGGGGGAGGAGTTTTTTCGTGTTCATGCACCTTGTTTTGCCCTGCCAACTACGGACCCATACGTAACTTGGCGGGACACGGGACTTGGGTCCAACCCCCGAGGCCAGCCGGAGCATCGGTCCGAGGCGCCGAGACCAAAAGTCACCCCGCCCCAAAACTCAGCGCCTGTGTCTAGGTCCCCCGGCAATTGGTGCCCTTCTGAACCGTTTCTTTTTGGTGAGGAGGGTTCCCCTGCGAAATTCGACGACCTGAAAAAATGGTACCCTTATTCTAACTTCTCTACTGGAGGACCTAGTTGTGGTTTGCTTGGCAACGGTGGTTTCTTGGTGTGCGTCCTTGTACAACTGGACAAGGTTGTTTATATTTTGCGGTTGTCTACATATGAGTCTTTCACTATGTGTGTTTGTGCCCCCAGATTCGGGCGAAGAAAGCTCAACAGTTGTTTCTTGGTCTCTTCTCAACATCTTCCCCCTTCCCCCCCCCCCGCAAACAAAAAAACACAAAAAAAAGAGCTGATAAACTTGGTATGACCAAGCCATAGAATAGAGGCTTGGATGTTATATGACTTTCTATTTCCTGTCTGTTGAGGATTGTTCATGAGATGACACGGGAAGGCGAAAAGATGAATGGAAGAGATGAAAAGGACCAGAAAGAACAAGAACCGAGTGGACGAAGTGAATGGGAAGGAAAGGGATGGATAAAGCCAATTAATATCTTTCATTTTGGCCTTTATTTTTAATCAGATTATCATCTCCCACCTCCTCGCGGCTTCCAAGAGGTAGACCTTATGACCTCACCTTGAATCCAGATAAGAGGACAAGCATTCAAGAGCTTACAATAAAGGCTTGGAAGGAGAGAGTGAGGGATGGTGAGTGACGAAGAGATGAATGAAGCGGTGAGGATGGGTGATCACTCTCTCACCCATTGACAAGTCACCGCGAGCGAAGACAGCGGGGAAATGGGTGAGTGAGGAAGGACTTGGATGACAGCAAATTCTATCTCAGCTGTCAACAAACCCACGAACGAAGGGAGGTGGGTGACAGCGGATGGGGAGGTGGTTCTCTTTCATATTGTCCCATCCCTAGACCAAGCCATAGAATAGAGGCTTGGAGGTCATATGACTTTCTATTTCCTGTCTGTTGAGGATTCTCTTCCTTGACCGTGTTAACGAGAAATCCGAATGGCGGGAGGGAATGAAGATGACCGGGGAAATGAAAAAGAGATAGCATTTCCCTTGACCAAGCCATAGAATAGAGGCTTGGAGGTGTAAGGAAAGTGTGATGATTGGAAATGCTGCTATGACGAAGAGATTCTGAGAGCAAACGAAGAACGAAGAAAGAGATGACAGCAAATTGACAAGGAACAAATCTCATGAAGACAGGATATAGAAAGGACAATGATGGATGGGTGATCACTCTCTCACCCATTGACCGCAACCAAGTGCAAAGAGAAAGAGCATTTGGGTGTCAGCGGATGGGGAGGTGGTTCTCTTGCATATTGTCCCACCTCCTCGCTGCTTCCAAGAGATAGACCTTATGACCTCAACTTGAATCCAGATAGGAGGACAAGGATTCAAGAGCTTACAATAAATCTAATATTATAAATCTATTAATGAAAAATACATGATTTCCTTCTTTCCTGCTCTTGGGATTACACCGCCCGGCGAAGATACCAAGGAAAGGAAAGGAGGAGGTGAATGGGATCTCTTTCACCCATTCTCTCCCATCCATCCCTTCATGCCTCACAGAGAAGACGCATCCAACAGCAAACCAATATGAATCCAGAAAGACTGACATGAAAGAAAAAGGTGCTCAGGATCCAAGCCGCTATGACGTGAGGAATAGAAAGGCTTGGAAGCAGAGAGTCAGGGATGGTGAGTCGAGTGCACAGTTAGACCAAGAGCTGGGACAAAGGGAAAGCTCTTGAACCCAAACTCTTTCTCTTTCTCCTCTCCATTGACAGTGAGGAGATGTCCCTTCGTTCCCGCTCTCTTCGTTCACTCACACCGGAATAAAGGGAGACCACTCCTCTCTCCACCACCTGTCAGCTCTTGGAATCTCCGGCATGTGGTCAAGTCTTCATTCATTGGCGGCATCTCTTGACAGGAATTATCCAAGAGATGAAAAGGACCAAAAAGAACAAGAACCGAGTGAACGAAGTGAATGGGAAGGAAAGGGACAGATGGAACGGATTAACTCTCTCACACACCTGTCCATCCCTTTCCATCTCATGCCTCACTCACTTCCTTCGTTCCTCACTCATGGTCAACCTCTTGGCTTCTGGAACACGCTGCAGTGAGAAGAGAGTGGACATGGGATAACGACCTGACAGAGGAAGGGAGTGGGATGACGTGAGGAATAGAAAGGCTTGGAGGTGGGAGATGATAATAAAGCCAACATGAAAGATATTAATTGGCTTTATCCATCCCTTTCCCTCCCATTCACTTCGTTCACTCGGTTCTTGTTCTTTCTGGTCCTTTTCATCTCTTCCATTCATCTTTTCGCCTTCCCGTGTCATCTCATGAACAATCCTCAACAGACAGGAAATAGAAAGTCATATAACCTCCAAGCCTCTATTCTATGGTTTGGTCATATTCCTTCTCCATTCTATTTTCATACTTTAATAATTAAAATAAAACTGTTGTGCTGAAAGGGGTTTGTATGAGTAGCCCTGTGTTCTTGGTCTGTGCAAAGATTGTGGGGGTTCCAGGTTGATTCGCCTGCTTTGTGGTTTGGGGCTCTGATGGCACTGATGCTCTGATTGAGATAGGCTCCCACCTTTACCTTCGCGCTGCTTCCTTTTTGCCATGCCAAGTGGCTTGTGTTCAAACTGAGCTATCCAAAAAGGCTGCCCCTGTTCCCATGTCTGGGCCAAAGTACAACTTCGCAGTTGCCAAGATACTGTTTGGATTGCTGATTGGTTGTGTTCACTTTGCTGGGCTAGGAGCATAGTGTATTGCTGACATACTGGGGGTGGGTAAGATGATTTATCCAGAGTCTCTTTTTGGTGGTCCCCAGTGAAACACGTCAAGCAATGCATGTCCATCCGCTGGTGGCGACTTTGATTCCTTGGTGTTTGTTGGGCATCAACGCAGTAACCTTCACATCAGCCAACGTAAAAGTTTCTCTTTTTCGAGGCAGCTGCTAAAGTCATTGGCAATCGCGATGGACTTCGACATACGTGCAAGACTGGTGACAAGGCGACGCAATCTTGAAGGGACCACTGACAGAAAGACGGCTCAGTTTGCCCTCAGTAAATAGGTCATTAGATCCTCGCATTAACGGTGGCTTCAAGCGACTAAGTGGGTTGAACATCCAAGTAGCATCAGCTGAATACCTTGTGGCTGACCTAATTACTTCCCGGAAACTAAGAGGATGGTCTCAAAGTGGTCAAAACCTGTTTGGATATATTTGCAAGGAAAGACAGAAGGATAGCAACAGCGGTGTTTTTCCAAGAGAAGAAGACATGGATACCTGTTGACTTCGAGTTAGGTCAGATCCTGGGGCCGAACAAGAAGGGATTTGTTTACTTACATTTGCTGAAATGAGTATGTATTATGTTCCCCTGTTGGTTTTAAAGTTGGAATCGATTTCACTATTGGACAAATTTGTCTTATTTTTGTTCCATCCAGGAGACTTCAGCAAATGGAGGTTTGAGATGCAGGGAGGAGACTATCTCTGGAAAGGGGCCCTAGCAGGACCTCTGCTGATTGACTTTCAGGACAGGTGTCCTGCTTTCTTCCTGTGTATCTATCCTGCTTTCCCTGTGGCTTTGTTTGGTGTTCTCTTGATACCTGTCAGGCTTTTCCCATGCCCAAATTCTGCGAACCGAGCGCAATAAGGTGCTGATTTGGGCTGTCAGGATCTGAATCGCCAGTTCATAAGGCAAGACATATCTGCGCATGCGCTTCAAAGGCATCCAAAATATTTGGGGAAGCTGAACCACATCGTGCTGGGTTTGTCTCAATCGGGGAGCCAGCTTTCAAAATGGGCCCAGTGTGTCTCCCTTGCCTATCCAACAATTGAAACCCCAAAGAAAACACGCAGCTCTGATTCTTGGTTGCGTTTGTTGGAAAGGCTTCAACCCTTAAATGGGGTAATCCTCAAAGCAGGCCGTACGATTTTTTCAATGGGATTTGTGTGCTTTTGGGTACTTCCGAGGTCAAGATACAACGCCCATTTACGTGTTTGGAGACAAGCCCGTTTGTCCAATCTCAGCTGGGTCGCGACACAGCAATTGGCGAATTGGGCTCTGTCCGGCTGTTTCCCTTTCCAAAAGTACCTCAGAAAGGGCGGCCGGGTCCAATCTGCTGAAAGAAGCCCCATCTTAGTTGTTCAGTGGCTCCCTTTTTCCCCTTTTTTTTGGTGGCTGCCCCACTAAAATGATCTTCCCAAAAAAGGGTTCCCTTTTTTTCCAGGGTCACTGAGCAACTGACAGAAGCCCCATCCTTTGAACCAAATTGGGCCCCCCAACCGGTAGCTCCCATGCCGCAGGTGGCCGACTTGGTTCCCATCTTTGCATCTCGGATCGATCGGGGAGTGGCTCGATTTTCAAGGACTGAGCACCGAAAGCGTCCCCTATGTCCATTGGCTGAAATGGATGTGTGTTATCTTCGCTTGTCGGCTTTAAAAGGAATCGATTTCACTACTGGAACTAAACTAGCTTCTCATTTTCCCAAGGGGCTGAAGCAAATGGAAGTCGAGCTTGGTGATCCTTTGGGGTATGGGTCTCTTGAAGGAAGCCATCTTGTCAGATGGTCTGAAAGGGAACCACAGGTGTCCGACCAATCCGTGGTGCGCCGTGGTGACTGCCACATGGACTTG